GCGTCGTCTAACGGACTGTTGGCTTCGTGTGGAAATCTTGGAAACATCCAGAAATCCAGTGTCCGACATCGCACTTCACATACTTTGTCTGGACGGTTCTTCGTTTCCCACGCGAAAAGCACACACGACACCTCAATTGCGAAGTAGAGGAAGTCAGCCAGTGATGTGGTTTTACCTCCTATAATCGAGATATCTCCGATAAAACGGCAGGGGTTCGACCCCTGGGCCATTGATGGCGAGGTGGACCACTTCCAGCATGTTCCGCACAAGAGCGAGACGAAATTCTCTTTGTGACAACAGGATGTAACTGTTCAGATCCAGGAAACGGAAAAATAGTTTATTTGTCCATTTCCAGGTTCGATGACAGATGCTATAACTGTTTGCCACAGTTTGCCCACAGCTCCACCTGAATAATTATTCACACTTCTCTTGCCATGCTGATGTGGTGGTGGTCCCCAGGTTGCTGACCAAGATGATGGTTCTTTGTCGAAATCAACCACCAGTGATGTGGTTTGAGCTCCTCTAATCGAGGTATCTCCAATGAAACGGCAGGGGTTCGACCCCTGGGTCGTTGAGGGCGAAGTGGACCCCTTCCAGCATGTTCCGCACAAGAGCGAGACAAAATTCTCTGTGTGACAACAGGATGTAACTGTTCAGATCCAGGAGATGGAAAAATAGTTTATTTGTCCATTTCCAGGTTCGACAACAGATGCTATAACTGTTTGCCACAGTTTGCCCACAGCTCCACCTGAATAATTATTCACACTCCTCTTGCCATGCTGGTGTGGTGGTCCCCAGGTTGCCGACGAAGATGATGGTTCTTCATCGACTTCAATTTCTGATTCACTTTCTTCCTCGCAACTCTCAGAGTCATCGGTACAACAGTCTGAATCGGTGTCATTTATAAGCTGATTCTCAGTTTCAGTGTCTTCCAAATACCAGGCCATGGTGGACAGCTAAACACAATGCTAGCCTTGAACGTTCTGACACTCCTCAGCTATATTTCAAAACAGACTACTTCTTGTTTGGCTATACGAGATAAAACAGTCAGTGTTTCTGCAAACGAGTTGACATCGCCCACACTCGTTCATACCGAAAGGAACCTACAAACTGGAGATGAACGAAGCGTAAACATCCGACCTTGTAGCAACACAAGCCATAGTTAGAGCATGATGTCACCAGTAGGCATTCAGACTGCAGAAATGTTTTGTGCAGGAACTGTATGCATTTTTGTGCACAGACGTTCAAAATTGAGGGGAAAAATTTTTGTTGGCATCAGTGTAAAAATTTTTAGAGATTTTAAAATCGGTAAATTACAATAACTGATTCTATATTCTTTCTAGATAAAAGCAGCGTTTATTTCGTTCATCACAAAAATTGTAGAAATCACAGCATTTTGAGTAACATGATTACAATTTTTATTACTCTACAGTGGCGGGCATTTAAATTAACTCCGTCCCACTACCACTACCGGAATTTAAATGGCCGTCTCTTAAAGGTTAATAAATAAATATATTAATATCCATCATTTCTGTGGACATCAGCAGATATGCCTTTTTTAATATACTACTGTCAAATGGCTTGCTTGTAAATGTATTTCCTTTGATTTACAGGAATATCAGATGTGGAGGTACGTGAGGAAGAGCTTAATCAAACAGTGGTACAGGATAATGACGACACATGTTTACATACTTGCCACAGCACTGGGAATGTCACAAATACTGCTCTGGTTAACAGTGAATCGTTACAGAACTTATCACAAGCTATCTTGAAGCGACAACATTTTGAGCTGGTGCAAACTGATGGTAGCTGCTGCAGTGATGATCTCATGACAGTTGGCTATGAACAGTCTGGTATTGAACTCTTGCCACCATTGGAAGACTGCTACCCAGCTATAACTCTTGTGGACCAGATTATTGATGTAGACAATCTGGTCACTAAACTGCTCAAGGTTCTGCGGATCATTCAGCTGGAGAATGACACCTGTGTGGATGAACTGCATGATGAGAGGTGAAGTGAAATTCTGTACTCAGATGTCTGTTGAGTAACATATTTATAATCCCTACCCATTATATCTTAATATATTTGTAGCATATTTTGCTGAATAGATTTCAGTCCACTATGCAGATTAACTGCTGTGCTTTCTGAAATGTCAGTAAGCTAAGAACTGAAGAAATTATTACATGCTTTTGTGTTTATCTTATTAGTTGGCTGAATACTTCAGTTCTGTGCACTGTAAACTTCCTGCTTTACTGTACTTATTCAAAATCCCTCTTTCATGACTTTCAGGAATGTGTCATTTACCTTATTCAAAAGGTCCCTTGTTTGTGCACTGTTGATTCCTTATACAACCAGTTCTTGACAGCTGCCTTACAGAAGAGTGTGTTGAAACTGCCTGATATACAGTCAGGTTAAACAGCATTACATTTATGCTATATTTCATTGAAGCTTTTGAGATATTACAGTATTATTTACTTTCTTACTGCAGCAAAAGGTTTTTTTGGGCAATCTTTTTGTGCCTTAAATGGGGGTTTTGGAAAACAGAGCCTGAAATAAATATCAAACTTAGTTCAATCAATAATAACGCACAAGTTCACTTGATGAAGTAAATATTTCTCAGAATATGACCCACACCAACTTTCCTCTTCAAGAATTGAAGCTCTCTAGCTTTCTATATTATTATGTCAGAAGACGAGGATTTGTATAAACTTTTACTTCAGCACATGACATTTATAATAACTGAAAAATTGGAAACAGGTAATCAGTGTATTTAGGCTCAGGTAATCATTCAAAACATAAATGAAAATATAAGATGGAGTACATTTGCACCTCAGAATATATTGTGACGTGTTACCTTACGTCCATCACTGCGACAACCGCTACAATCGGAACGGACACTTCCACGGCAACGAATAGGTGGAAACTGTGGAGTTCCCACAGTGACAAATTGTGGTAATGAATTGTTGAGAAACAATGGGAAATACTGCACTTCCTAAGCAACAGATTGTTGAACCAGAATAATGCACTTCCGCGGTAACGAGTCAGTCTTCATAAGGCCACCACCGAAAGCAGTATAGTATTGGCTGAGATATAGTGGAAGCAGTAATTGTGATACTGCAAGTGATAATAATTGTAAAGCGTGTGAGTGTCCAATAAAGTGACAATAAAGTGAAGTCCAATAAAGATTCGCTAAATCCGAGACCCCTGTGAAGTTATCTGTCGCGTGACATACCCAACACGTGACAATATAACTGTTCATTTCAGTAATTATCAGACAGTAAAAAGTAAAACAACAATAGAAGAAGACTGGTGAAGAATGAAATAACAGTGTTCCAAAATAAATTTCATGTTGTAGCTTATGTAAGTATTCTTAAGTATTTTGATGAGGGGTAAATTTCCTCAGCTTGATTGCAAGAATATATGAAAAAATTATATTGTGCAGAATACAGCTAGCAGAGCAAGTGAGGCGAGAACAAGAAAGCAGACGAGAAGTTCAGGAAGAAATGAGGAACCTGGAACAAATCAGAGCAAGATTACATGTAGAAGTTCAAGACCTGCACCTACAATTGCAACGAAGAGTTCAGGAACTAGAGAATACTAGAGATGAATTACAGCAGCACCAAAATCAAATCGAGGTGAGTATAGCTAAAGATTTCATTGGTCTGTATAAAAACATTGATACACTTTTAAGTACAGACTAGCAGATTGAGGCTTTCTGATTTAGTTATCAGTTCATGGATGAGACAAGAGGGATTATTTTATTATTTTTGGAGAAAAGGAAAACTTTATTTATCTCTTGTTGTATGCTAGCAGCTAGAGTCTGAGTACGTTTCTTATAATTGAACAGCGCATTATTTGCTTAGACTTGCTTTTGGTATGCACAAGTATACATGTATATTCACATGAGACGTGGATGGATGAGACAAAGAAATGTTTACCAAAATTAAAGACTGGCAGAAATTCAGTGAAACTGTTACTGTATATTTTTATGCTGTAGTTAATAAAACAAAAAATTCTCAGATCTAGTAAAGTACATGGTATTCCAGTTATGTATATGTTTTATACTATGTAAACTTATATATATATGAGCGTGAGTATGAGGGGTGAGCCATAAAAACTGACCCTCGCACCATGACCTTCAATGATCTATTGTGCTTCATCATCAGTAATCTGTCAGACGACAGGTCCACAGTCTCTTCCAAAACAGTTCCTCCACTTAATGTGATCTAGAGCTTTCTCCTTCAAATAAAAATATCCTCTTCTGTCCCCATGGTCATCCAGCATCTTCTTACATCTTCTTCCTCGTCTTCTGGATCTCACATACATGGTATCTCTGTTTTTGGAAAGAGACTATCCAAGAAAAGTGATAATATGGTAGTTTTTCCATTTGCTTTCCACATCGCAGTACAACAGCCGTTCAAACCACTCTGGTCATGCCTGTTGCTATACGAACCTGAACCATCTCGAGCATCATTTGCTCTGTGCTTCAAGTCGCTGCTGATGACGCTGCTTCCGGCATCAGTTTTTGGTTTTTGGTATCTCTCTTTGTCTGATGCCTATCCTTTGACCTGTCCAGCAAGGGAGAACCTGCTAGTAGCTACGCTACCACTGGTATAGCTCTCAGGGTCTTGGCATACTCAAACCCCCTCACCACGATAAGGTGGAGACACCAATGAGGGGGCTGTTGTGCCCAACTTACATATATAAAAATTTCTGCCAAAACATATAGTCAAGACATTTGGTTTCCTCAGAATTATTGGGTTTTTGGAATTCTTCCATCATTCAGTATTCTAGGAAACAGAAAACACGACGTTTTGGAAACTGGATCTGTTTCCATTCGCAGATGGGGGGAAGACACTTAGTTGGGTCCCTTAAAAAGAGCTAACCTCAATCCCAGATCCAGTGATTGGTGTCTTCCCTCCCCCCGCTTGAGGAAGGAAACAGATCAGTTCTGAAACATCATGTTTTCTGTCTTCTAGAATACTGGGCGATGGAAAAAGTTAAAAATCCAGTAATTCTGTGTGTTATACTCCATCATCAGAACCCTTTAGAATATATTTCATTTCCTGTATGAAGGTCTTGTCCATATTTTGTAATGGCTGATAATTGATTACACATTTCAGATCATTTAGTAATTATGGGGTGTTTGGACTTCATTGTCCAGTATTGCTTCGTATTCTGAATGGAACATAATATCTCAGTGTTTCAGAAACTGGATATTTTTTCAGTCTTCAGGAGAAAATGTGCACAGGTGCCTTCTCTGATGGGGTGTGTTGAGCAGCCCCTCCCCTCTTAACCTAACTAGAATGGGGAGACACTGCTTTCGTCCCTGGTTCCTTTACATTGTTTTGCAATGCCTTTATCCCCAAGATAGAGTGGGGTGTCCAAGCTATAGGTCTTGACCGACGATAACCAGAAAATCTCCAGATAAAAACAATAGTAAATATTTAATATAACAAAATTGACTCAGATACAATGCAATGAAATACCAAGAAACACAACTCCACTCATGATGCTGCAAGACCGACGTTGCGTATTTTTGGAGATTTCTCGCCGTCAACGCCCCTAAAAACTTTGACCAAAAATAAACCTGAATTTTCAACCAAGAAGAAAAAGAAGAAAAAAAAACAGAGCTCGAAACTGAATTTCACTCACTTACCATGTTGACGGCGAGCCACTCCCTCATAGAAAAACATTCTCTCGAGAGATACATGCACACTTCTTAACAAGTCAAATACAGCCTGATTTTTTTTAGTCAGGGCAATACACAAAATGCCAGGCAAGTAAAATAAGTGCCCCAAGAAAAAGCGAATTCTAGATACCACTCATCCCAAAACCAGGGGAAACACTACCCTTACCTAGTCAGAAGAAACCAAACCGAATTTAGACTGGCCAAATCCAAACATAATTTTGCTATCTGCTCCTCTGACTGCTAGCAACCACGTTGCTCCTACAGTCCCCTCAAACCCAAGGGAGACACTACCCTTCTTCTGCGACTGCTATACAACAAGTGAAGTTAATCCACCTCCTTCCTACTCACTAGATCTTAGCAACAGCTGGAGGGGGGGGTCACGTGGTAGGCATGGAACGGAACAAGTTCTGGAACAGTTGAACTTCCAGGGGAAGAGAAAAAGGAAAAGGGGGGGGGGTAGGGAAAGAAGCCGCTGAACAGAGCCATAAGTAGAACATATGGCTCAGGGTTTCTAGTTTACCCAGTAGAGTAAATGCCTCTTCACCTTTAATCAGCTGTCACACTTAAGGTTTTTAGCAGCTTGTTTTGCAGAATATACTTGTATGGTGGGATACAGAACTACTGGAAAATCATCTGTTGCACTTTTGAAACAACCTTTGTTCTTGAGAAAGTTTCAGCTGCCATTCATAATGTCAAATTATAGATATGCATCTTAATACATTCATTTTCAGCAACTGACTAGAGAACTGCATAATCTAAGCTCTGTGTGCAAGCGGACAGAACAACAACTACATTATCATGAAGAAGAGGCAGAGAATATTCTACAGCAATGGCAAGAATGTGGGCAACTACCATCACCAGAATTACTGGCTAGAGTGATTGCTACTCATGATGAGGTAATGTCACAGAGTATAGGAAGGTATAGTGGATCTGGACTCATGCTTCACTCAGATTCAATGCTGTTTATGTTGAAAAAATTTCCCCACCTAGAGTTTCCTTAGTGTCAGTGATATTTAATTTTATTTACTATTTTCTGACCATTAAATACAGTGTTTTCCTGTAATCGTCTGACATACCTCTGCTCCTGTGTCTGTAAAGAAGAATGTGTGTCTGTTTGGTTTTTCTTTATACAGTTTTACACCACTGCACCTATTTTGGCTAGATTTTTTAATTGAATTGAATTGAATTTATTTACATTCTATAAATCCTAAGCAGGTTAGTACCTTTGGATACAGAACAAGTCAAAAGGTTACATACATAAGTACAGGCAATTTTAGCTTAAAATTTAATATAACTTAATTTTACATCATTCTCTATTTACATTGAAGTATTCATCTAAAGAGTAGAAGGAATGAGCATGTAGATAATTCTTTAACTCTGATTTAAACTTTTTAGTATCATTGCCCAAGTTTTTAATACTTTGTGGCAGATTGTTGAACACTTTTATGCCAGTAAAGTAGACTCCTTTTTGATATACTGATAAAGTTGATGAGGGTAGGTGGAAGTTATATTTTTGTCTAGTATTCATGTTATAGACATCAGAATTTAATTTGAATTTATCTTTGTTGTAAACAACAAATAAGAGAAGCGATAATATGTATTGCGATTGAAGAGGTAGAATTTTTAATTTCTTAAATAATTCTCTACATGAATCTCTACTTCTACATCCTGTAATGATTCTAATTATATTCTTTTGTATTTTAAAAATTATTACACTATGTGAAGAGTTCCCCCAAAATATTAATCCATAGTTCATAATAGAATGAAAGTAGGCATGGTAAACCATCTTCAATGTTTCCTGTGACATAAAAGGCTTAATTGATCTCATCACATAGCAAGCTGCATTTAATTTAGGTATAATTTGTTCAATATGTATTTTCCAAGACAGTGTACTGTCTACATGTATTCCAAGGAATTTTGTATCAAGTACTTTACAGATTAATTTGTTGGCATAACTGATGTCCAGATCAATTTGGTGGTTGTTTTTAGTTGTGAATGATATGTAATGGGTTTTATCAAAATTTAATGAGAGTAAATTGGCTTTGAACCATCTGTTTAAGGCTTCAAATACAATATTTATGTCATTTTTAAGGTTTTCAAATTTAGAGTTCTTAAATATTATACTAGTGTCATCTGCATATAGAATTGGTTTAGATTTATTGTTGATGGTTTAAGATAGATCATTTATGTAGAGAAGAAAAAGTAAGTAAGATGTGTTGGTGGAACACCTCCCTGAGGATGTTTTAGACACATGAACATTTTCATGGATTAGAGTCAAAGCTAATTTGTTTCCGCGTTACTTCCTATGCAGGAAAAGCACTGGGCAATCATGACAGCAGTGAACTGTTGCTAGGATATGAAGGAAAACTGGGATGGGTGGAATCCAAAAATATCTCCTGCTATTGTTAGAATTATTATAAATTTTTTTCTTGTATATGTGCATTATACTCTGGCAACACTGGGCAGGTTTACTAATACTTAATATTATGGGAAGTTTTGGAGAGCATGCTTAAATAATAAGACGAATCAATTTTTTTTGCACTTTTAATATTTTTTTTAATTAAGATGTTTATAATCATAAAGATATTTGTAGGTATGCATTGGCAGTCTGTCAGTAATTGATATTTTAATAAATGACAATGAAAGATCAATTGAATGATGCCATTCGGTGACTTTGAGACATATATAATGTGTCACATGTAGAACAAATCATGTAAATAATATTGTAACGTGTTTAGCCACTGAAGACGCCGTAGAGATTGTTAATTGGTTTATTTAACAACCTACAAGTATCGGCTACAATTAATTATAACACAGTTGCGGGGTTTCACACTTTATAAACCCTACACACAAATCAATTCACTCTGTCACGATTCACTTGTTACAATTCAACTCAACTCATAACTCACTGCTGGCTAGATTCCAACTCAACTATAGGCTGGTGCCCTGAGAACTGTTCACTGCTGACTAACTCGTAACTGCTGCCTTGAGAACTGTCTTCGGCTGCTGATACACTTTTAACTGACAACAACTGCACTCGGCGACGGCCACATTTCCCCCTATTTGCAATAAACTGTTCACACTATCTTCAAGAGCCTTCACGTATTAACCCTTTGGCGCGGTCATTTAAATTCCGTGGCCGCGTCTCCGGCGGTAATATATTCAGCCGGCCATTTAAATTTTGCTCGAAAATGATTTATTCATCATTGTTCTTAAATTCTATGAGATAGGAACATGAAACTTTCACTAAAATGATCTTAAATGGTGGCTTTATAACCTTACCTTATAATATGAGCGCCCTGTATCTCGGCAATGGAAGGAGGTTGTTTAGTATTTGAGCAGTGAATGGTACGCCTTGAAGCATGAAACTTTCACTAAAATGATCTTAAAAGATGGTTTTTATAACCTTACCTTATAATATGAGCGCCCGGTATCTCGTTAAAGGAAGGAGGTGGTTCAGAATTTGAGCAGTGTAAGGAAGGCGTTGAAGCATTCGTGTAACCCAACGGTGCCCCATATTCATCTCTCCAATAGTGTGTATCTTTTCTTTTGCTCTTTTTTTTAACCACACAGCTTCTGTGCGGCCTTGCCTTCTTCCCCGTGAGGGGTATAGTTCAAGGAAATGTCTTTCCGTGACCCGTTTAGTTGCCAGGTCAGCTGTAGTAAATTCAACGTTACGAGTTATCATAACAAGGGGTTGGTGCTTCTGCGTTTCAGATTCCAACCATTTTGGCTGCCCCAGATGTCGTAGGGGTGACCACAGAATTCATGAAGTTATTCTAAGAACTGGCTGGTATATAGTGAACGAAAGCAGAGCTTAGCTGGCTCAAAAAAAATATTTATGGTCATCCCTCGAAACGA